GGAAGCCTATTTAACTATTACAAGTTGTGCTTAAACAAGTTTTAAACTTGAGCATTCTCAGCTCCGTCCTCTTTCGGCTTCGAGGAGGTATCTTCTTCGGCGCCGTCGTCATCTGAATCGCATCGGGCCAGCTCCGAGTCCTCGAGCAGCACCCTTTCTTCACCTTCGGGCAAAGGAACCCTCACGTCCGGCAGAAGGGGGGGGAGGCCATAAGCTTCAGGCTGAAACTCCTTCGGATCTACGCCGTGGTGCCGGGCCAGCCTCCGGTACAGCATAGCCTGAGTAAAATATTGGGCGCCCTCGTAAAAACTTTTCCCCTTCAGGGCAAGCCACATTGCCCCGGGGCCCTTCACACAGGCATCCGCTTTAGCCTCAACCACCGAGGCCACCCACTGCTGGTACTCTTCGGCCTTCCAGCCATCGGCAACAAAAGAAGCAACGGCATCCTCGCTGGCTTTGGCGACGGCATCAGCTTTGGCCTTATCAGCTTCCTCGGCGGCTGCCTGGGCGGCCTCGGCGGCAGCTTTCTCTGCTTCGGCCTTCCCATTAGCAATGCCCTCGGCCCTAGCCTCATTTTTGGCAGCCTCTAGCCTCTGCTCAGATTGCCGAAGGGCCTCCTCCAAACCGGCCAGTTGCCTGATGGCCTCGGTGTTGTTAGCAATCAGCTTCCGCATGGCCTCCTCAGACCTCGCCCTTTCAACACGGCGCTGTTCCGCCCTCCTGACTAGCTCCCCGAGGGCAATGCTCGACTGCAGACAGATAAAGGAGCACTCGGGATCAAATTATGCAAAAATAGGGAAACCCGGGACAAAAGTTAAAAGAGGGAAAGGCACTTACCGTGACCGAGGCTTGAAGGGCCTTGAGCTCGAGAGACTCGTCCTCGAACTTGCCGAGGGTTGATCGATCCAGCGAGGGAGTGGCGCCCCTCAGGAACTGTAAGGAATAAATGTAACTAGATTTTGATGATGCTATAGGATTAGAAAGTTAGAGTACCCCCAAATTAGATTTTATGTATTAGAATTTTTAATTGTAAGTATTAGTGTAGTCGACGATCAGAGTTGCTCTACTTTGGATCAGATCAGAAGTGCATCAGAACTGCTCGACCAGACTTGCTCTATGAGAACTGCTCCATCAGAGTTCTCTTACCAGAAGTCCATCAGAGTTGCATCATGAGAGTTGCTGATAAACCTGGACATCTGATAGCCGATGAGAACTACAGATCAGAAGTACTCATCAGCGGACCTATCAGAGTCAGAGTTCAGTCAGAGATCAGAACTCCATCAGAACTCAACTCATCAGAAAGCCATCAGAATCCAACATATCAGAAGAGCCTGATCAGAGCCCGACGAACACTTAGAAAAATCTCAAGCAACATCCAACAGCTCTGAATTCAACGGGTAAAAACATCCAACGGCTACAAGACTGTGCATGAAAGGAAAGCATTTAATGCACATTAAATGAGCCTGATACGCTGAAGGATTGATTGCAAATGATTGACCAAGGAATCCGGGAAGATATATTATAAAAATAGAAACCTTCCAAAACGGCGGTCAAGTCAACTGTACGCACATTTAATGCAGTTGTCTCCTCCTCCAACGGGCAGACAACCTCAGTATATAAGCTACACATCGAAGAACAGAAAAACAACTTTGCTACAACTTTTGCTCATCATCATTCAAGCTCTCTTGAGATTCAAATTCTAACAACCTTCAACAAGACAAGCTTACGTTGGGAAGATTCAAACTAAAAATCTCTCATCCCCAACAAACAAGCAAAGTTCATCCTGTTCTTCAACTCTTCAAGAACTTCATCAAACATCATTTGTGACGAAGCAAGTTGGAGGAAAAACTCTGTTTTTCAAAAGGATCTTCTGAAAAGAAGGGCGTCCAAGTAACTGCAGTAGTGAAGTGGTGATACTTCCGGGAAGCTGAGTGAAAGGACCAGCCATCAGGACGTGGAACTGCATCCTGGGTGGCATCTAGGCTTGAAGAAGACGAGGAGTGCTTCTTAAGAGCTAGGATTTAGCTTTGTAACCGATCTACTTCAAAGCTAGTGGAACAGTGGACTAGAGGAACGAGTTGTTCCTTGAACCACTATAAAATATCCGGTGTCATTTACTTTACTGCATTTTATATTTCTGCACTTAGGATATTAACTGATTAACTCTAAGACTTGGAATCTGTGTTCAGCAGATCTTGTTCTCAGAGTTATCAGAAAGGCATTTGCCTTAGTATTTCTGAGGCTACCCGGACAGATCAGAATCCGCTGCCAAGGCCAGTTCTGATATCAGAACCAGCCTCTCTCTGTCACCAGAATCAGACCTTCTCTGATAAGTCATTTTGGACTTGGAGAAAAGTTGAAAAACCAATCAGTCTATTCACCCCCCCCCCTCTAGACTGATTACCATATCAAACGGGACCAACAAGTGGTATCAGAGCCTCCTTGTTCTTGTAATCTTTTAGGTTACTCTCTGAACAAAGATCCACTTGTTCTTAGCCTCTCTTTATTTATTATAATGGATAATTCTCTTGCAAAGCATCTTATGTTCACAGATCAGAAATATGATGATTGGAAGATCAGAATGAAGGCACATCTATGTGCCCTACATGATGAAATGTGGGAAGTCTTGGAGAATGGACCCTTTATCCAGTTCATGAAGATCAATCCTGCTCACTCCATTGATAACTCTCAGCCCCAGATGATTGAGAAAGCCCGGTCAGAATGGACCAAGGAAGAGAAAAGACAGTATAACCTTGACAACATTGCCAAGGACATTCTCTACAAAGCTATTGATGAAAGATATTTCAATAGAATAAAGAAGTGCAGAACTGCCAAAGAAATCTGGGATAAGCTGGATGAGATTGGAGCAGGAGATGAACAAGAAAGAGATAACAAGTTGACCATTGCTATGAAGAAGTTTGATGACTTCAAACTTCTGCCAGAAGAATGCATTGCTAAGATGCATGAGAGACTGCTGATTCTCATTAGTGAGATTTCTTAGCTTGGAAAGGAACTCACTATCAAAGAAGTCAATATGAAGATCCTCAGGGGACTGCCTTCAGCTTGGAAGATGAAAGTGATTGCAGTCCAGGAAAGCAAGAACATCAAGACTTATGCCACTGAGAAACTCATCTCTGATCTCAAGGCTTTTGAGTTTGAGATGCATGAAGAGAAGGAAGAAGCTCCTGATGAAAGGACCACCACTGCTCTCACTGCCAGTACCTCTAAGGTAAGTGACTTTGACCCTTCTACTCTCTTATCTGATGAGTATATGGCTGCTTTTGCCAGAAAGTTTAAGAAGTTCATGAAGAAAGATGGAAGGAGTCCATCCTCCATCAGAAGACCTTATCAGAAGACCAAATCTTCTGAAAGCAATGGAGAGTACCTCTGCTACAACTGCAGACAACCTGGGCACTTTAAAGCAAACTGCCCCTATCCAAGAGTGTCCAAGAAGCAAGGACATGAAGAAGAAAAGAAACCAGATGATCAACACAGAAGAAGAAGAGCATTCGTCTCAGAACAAGCTGAGAGAGATCCACTTTCTGAATCAGAGTCCAGCTCAGACTCCGACTCTGATGAAGCATTCTGCTGCTTGGATGCAGAGACTGAAGACCTTTGCCTCATGGCACAATCAGATGATGAGGTATGCTCCACTTCTGATTCTATTTCTTCTTCGGTAGGCACAGCCTTAAATGATGATCCAATGTCATCATTCTGGGAAGAGTTCCAAACTATCCAAGCCACTTATTCTTTTGTTAAAGAAGAGAACAGTAGGCTGAAAGTTGATATCTCTGATCTAAGGAAAGAGACTGAGTGTAAACTTAATCTCTTAACTGAGGAAAGAGATAGACTGAAAGCTGAAAATGAGTCTCTTCTGAAAAGAATAAGAGACATTGAGGAACTTGAGAATAGATATAATAGTCTTCTGAAGATGCAATCTTCCATGAAGAATATTGGTGACTCTCATAACTTCACCTTTGGTCTTGGATATGTTGAACCAGAGTCTGGTGAGCCTTCTGTAAGGCCTAGCACCCGAGTTGCTAAGGCTAAAAAGGTCATAGTGCCACAGACTCTGAGCCCCAATTGCCATGCTAGTACTTCTGGTACTAAAATTGTTCATGAGAGGGTCATACCAGAGAAACAAACTCTAAAGGCCAAACCAAAACACAGTTTGAAAACTAATAAGCCTGGCAGAAATTCTAACAAAAGGAAGAGTTTTCAGAACAATAATAATCAACGGCCTAACCCTAACAGACAATCTCATGACAATGGTGTGACACCCCGAAAAATTGCAATAAAGTAAATAAATTTTATTAGTGAGATAAAATGTTACGAAAGTCACATTTTAATAATTAAGTGATTCAGATAATATTTTAACATCGGTGACAACTTTAATCAGATAAAAATGTTTCAATAATAAAAGTGACATTTTTATAATAATTATGTTGATCAAATAGGATCTTGACTTAAATAACAAAAGTAACATTTTTGTAACAACTGATAATTACACATGGAGTATACATAATATATATAAGTGACATTATTTTAAAAAGAGGGGCCGATAGGATTCATGTTCACAACTAAACTATAAGGGGTATAAAATACATATGGCATATACTTCGTATGTTCTTATTATACAAGAGTAGTTGTACGCATAAAAGTAAAGAAAAAAAAACCCCATACAGTGAAGCTAGCTAATAAATTATGCTATGTACTGACTCGCACATGGGAAAGAGTTAATCGAACTTGCTCTTAGACAAATATAGAGAATGATACAAGGTGCCTATGTGAATCCCATGTGACACACATGACATTCCCATGTATGTATGTTCGGACACCACATGTACATGCCTCCCATATGCATTTGTCTTCCCATTCTCAATCATAATCCACCCCGAATAAAACCAATGCGCTGGGACATAAGGCTGGCTATATAGTACTTGTGTTTTCATACGTCCGCCCGCCACATATATATACATGTATATATCGTTACATTTCCTACGACATGTCGACTTGCGAAATCATACTCCGTATACTTCACCTCATCAGCGATGCCCAAGACAGAGACGGACGAACTCAACCCTTACTGCAGCCATTAATTCTCTATGCGTCCAGCGTCATATATATTGCCGGAAATATCCTTCACCGGAGAAGCGAGGTTGACTGACCAACCTGACCAGTACCGCCGCTGAGGCGCCGTACAGAAGGAGAGTCCGTAATCCGTATCTACGTCGACAGGGAGTAACAGAGCAGACCGCCGGCGGTAACGCTGGGAATTCCGACCGGAGGAGGAAACCAGTCCATCGGACCACCTGTGCCGCCAGACCATCGTTCAAGTATTCCACCGCTGGTATATATACCCCACTGCCAATGCCCGAAGGAAAGAACATCGACGAAGGAGAGACCATTTCCGACGTCGAGAGGAGGCTGCCGGAGACGTTCTACATCGCTGCAACTTCTGCTGCGAGGAAGAGGGGAGCTACAGCAGTTCGCTCTTGTTGATCCAGGAGTATTATCTCTGGAAGGAGAAGTGCTGCCGGAAGCCGCCGCATAGAGAGCCGGTCACCTCTTCTTTTTCCGCCAAAGAAGGACGACATACAGTGAGTACATACTCTCTCCTTCCTTGCTACAAACGTACTGTTTTAGCATGTAATCCGACCCAGCTTGTTTTACAACTTATGAACAGACCGGTTAAAGTAAAACGTAACCAACTGACTGATATTCCAGTTTGGATTAATGAATTATTATTTGAATAAGGGTGACTAATCAGGAAGAATGAATTTAAACCATAGATTGGTTAATAATTCGCAATAAACCAGAATAGTTATTAATTAAAGAACTTTAATATTCTAGAAGGTGAATTTGGAGACGGTCAAGATAGAAGCTTCGGTTAGGATTTACCGCAATTTGAGGTAAGTACTATGTCAACCAAGTTTCATGCTTTTCCCATATAAATTTATTTGTGACTAGTTATTTGAGATCATTTGAGTATATGATAGTTAATGAGATTTTACGTATCAATTGTGATTGTGAATTATATATATATATGAGATTTGAGTATTTTTATATTTGGTGATATTTTGAGCATTTGAATTTACATATGAATTATTATTGGATGGAGATTTGAGATTTGAGCCATTTATGAATTATCCTATATTTTGGACTATTTATGGTATATTTGAGTATGATGAGTTAATAATTTTATTGTGAATAATTTTGTGGAATTTGGATTTCATATCCATTTTGATTTATGTTATGATACTTGAAATTGAGATTGGATTATGATTTTTGTGAGTACTCGGAGAAATGTGGATTTGGTGAGTGGTAATGATTATAAGTCTAATTCCACCAGGGATCTCCCAAAAGTGGAGCATCCCAGCTTAATTGTAGTAGTCGGTAGAAAAATCCTGACTACTCGGACTTTTTACTACTCGGAGAGCTTGGAATCTCTTTTAGGGGGTGTGCACACTTAAGGTAGGAGTTCGGCTTCCATTGGATTTCGTTGAGTTTGAATGATTGAACTTGAGATGATTTGGATTATTTGGTTGGACTTGATGGAGATGAATTGAACTACATTATATTGGATTATTTGAGTGGGTTATATTTGTTTGGATTGGATTGAATTTGATGTGGTTGAGATTATTAAATTATCGGTAGATTTTCAAAGTAATACTTTTTTTTGATTTGATATGGTTATGTTGAATATTGATTATGAGTATTTGGAAGTATTTTGAGATGAATATTTCGGCTTTACATATGAATTATGTTTTGGAATATAATTACGAGGATTTTGGTGGTTTATGTATATTGACCTTTTAGAATTATTATGATTTGGAAATATGTACCTATATTTGGAATATTGTCACTTTACATGTGATTTTGTGATGAGAAGTTTGTATAAAATGTTTTAGGAGGTTTCCTCCCAAATGTTTTCACAAAATGATATATATGTATCAAACATGATTATTTTACAGGGTTGGGTGGGCCTTACTTAGCATTTCCAGCTAATTTTTGTTTCTTTGTGTTTTTCTTTCTGTACTTTATTTGTGCAGGAATTGAGGATCATGTTGAAGTTGATTTCGAGAGCTTCCGCTAGAACACATAGACTAAAGTGATTTGAGTAATTTATTTTAGTCTTAATTTTAAAGAATTGTAGTTGAACAATTAATTAACTAAAATTTTAATTGTTGGTGGTGGATAGCCTGTGCACTCGGTTATGTGAGAACCGAGTGTGGCGGTAACGCCCCAGTTTCCCTTTGAATTTTCCGCTGCATAATTCTGATAAATCATTATTTAAATGTATTTTTGGGTGGGAAATTTGGGGGTGTTACAAGTTGGTATCAGAGCCTTTGATTTTTTTTAATGGGGTTTCCAAATAAAAGTATTTCCTAAAGTGACTATGGTTTTAAAAAAAAAAGTTTCGAACATTTTTTTTGACCTTCTAAACCTTCAATGAGTAATACCAACAAGTTGGTATTAGAGAAATGTTTTTCTGAGGAATCTTTTTCAAAGTGTTCTTCCAAAGAGTTTTCTAAAAAAAAAAATTATTTCAAAAGATTTCTAATGTTTTGTAAATTTTCTTAAGTGATACCAACAAGTTGGTATCAGAGACTTACGGTTTTCGAATGGGGATTTTTGCATAAAAGTTTTCCTTCAATGACTTCGGTTTTCAAAAAGGAGTTACTAAAGTTTTCTAAAATTTTGATTTTCAAAAAAAAAAAAAGTTTTCTAAGATTTTCTAAAACTCCAACTAGTGATATCGGCCAACAAGTTGGTATAAAGATTTTCTTTTCTAAAACATATAAAAAAAATTACAAGACGTTTTCTCAAATGTTAAAAAAAAAAGAAGTTGAAACCCGTTTTTCTAAATGTGTTTTGAAGAAAAAAAATAAACATAAGAATAATAATTGGACTAAGAAATAATATATTTAGGATCGTGGTGAGAATGTGAGGTTTTGAATTTCTATTCTGGTGGAGTTTGTGGTTCTTTGAATTGTTTGAGTTATACTTATATGAGATATATCATTATTGATTCAGTTGAGAATGAGTTTGGACTTTTAGGGGAACTTACAAAATTATGTGAATAGTGAGTTATTAGGTAAGGTAGTATAATTGTGAATATCATTCGATATACTTCATGTCCTAAACATTATTCTTTCAAGTAGACAATGAAGGCAACAAGAAACAAAGTAGAAGACAATGTCGCCGCACCGACGAATGCGGAGTTGACTCAAAATATGGTTCAACTCATCCAGACTATCGGGAGTGTGTTAGTTCAGAACCAACACCAACAACGTCTCAAAAACCACAATGATTTAGCGAAACTTGTAGCGAAGTGCAATCCACCGTGTTATTTAGGCCAAGAAGATCCTCTCATCCTTGAGGATTGGATTCGCACTTTCGACAAACTTTTCGACACTATAAACTGCCCTGCAGATCAACGAATTAATACGGCTGCGTACTATCTACGTCAAGAAGCAGACAATTGGTGGGCCACGACTGCCCCAACGTTGCGTCAACAACCTGACTTTTCTTGGGAGACGTTCAAGGAGGCAATGCGAAAGAGATTCTACCCAGAGCACGTGAGAGCTGAGAAGTATGAAGAATTCTTACACCTAAAGCAAGTGGGTATGACTGTCCAAGAGTATCACGCTAAATTCTTGAATCTCGCACGATTTGCACCAACACTAGTTCCCGATGAAATCGAGAAAACAAATAAGTTTATACGCGGTCTGAACTTCGAGACGCAAAAAGCTCTTTGCGTTTCAGAATGCCAAACGTTGAACGATGCCTACAACAAAGCTGGCAAGCACTATCGAGTGCAACAACTCCAGAAAAAAAACACTCAAGAGAGCGAGGAAGGGGACTGAAGGAGAAAGCAAACCAAGAGGCAAACAACGTGAGCTAAATCAACTAGGGCACACTCGGAACGGGAAGAAGAACAACAACCAAGGCCAAGCCCAGAAGCGTAAAAAGAAGAACTCAACTGAAGAGATGCACTTCTACTGCTCGAAGTGTGGAAAAGATCACCCCGGGAAATACTGTGACGGAACACTCGTACGATGTTTTCATTGTGACAAGCTTGGACATAGGGTGTTCGGGTGCCATTCAAGGAAGAAGGGAATCCCTCCAACTCGCGGACTCAATCATCATGAGAAGAGTGCAAGACACAATGGAAGAATCCGAAAATAGTAGGCAAAATCATATAAAATTTCTAATTTTCAATATTAATAAATCTGTTTGAGGATTGTGTATCATTTTGATCTTAAATGAATAATCTATTTTCTTAAGTAAGTTAAATGCTTCGGGAACGAAGCATTCTTTTAAGGAGGGTAGAATGTGACACTCCTAAATTTAATAAAAAGAATTTCATATTAACTAGCACGTGACACCTGCTAATTTTGTGGTGGATATTTTCTTAGCTTATGCTTCGGGACGAAGCATCTTTTAAGGATGGTAGAATGTGACACCCCGAAAAATTGCAATAAAGTAAATAAATTTTATTAGTGAGATAAAATGTTACGAAAGTCACATTTTAATAATTAAGTGATTCAGATAATATTTTAACATCGGTGACAACTTTAATCAGATAAAAATGTTTCAATAATAAAAGTGACATTTTTATAATAATTATGTTGATCAAATAGGATCTTGACTTAAATAACAAAAGTAACATTTTTGTAACAACTGATAATTACACATGGAGTATACATAATATATATAAGTGACATTATTTTAAAAAGAGGGGCCGATAGGATTCATGTTCACAACTAAACTATAAGGGGTATAAAATACATATGGCATATACTTCGTATGTTCTTATTATACAAGAGTAGTTGTACGCATAAAAGTAAAGAAAAAAAAACCCCATACAGTGAAGCTAGCTAATAAATTATGCTATGTACTGACTCGCACATGGGAAAGAGTTAATCGAACTTGCTCTTAGACAAATATAGAGAATGATACAAGGTGCCTATGTGAATCCCATGTGACACACATGACATTCCCATGTATGTATGTTCGGACACCACATGTACATGCCTCCCATATGCATTTGTCTTCCCATTCTCAATCATAATCCACCCCGAATAAAACCAATGCGCTGGGACATAAGGCTGGCTATATAGTACTTGTGTTTTCATACGTCCGCCCGCCACATATATATACATGTATATATCGTTACATTTCCTACGACATGTCGACTTGCGAAATCATACTCCGTATACTTCACCTCATCAGCGATGCCCAAGACAGAGACGGACGAACTCAACCCTTACTGCAGCCATTAATTCTCTATGCGTCCAGCGTCATATATATTGCCGGAAATATCCTTCACCGGAGAAGCGAGGTTGACTGACCAACCTGACCAGTACCGCCGCTGAGGCGCCGTACAGAAGGAGAGTCCGTAATCCGTATCTACGTCGACAGGGAGTAACAGAGCAGACCGCCGGCGGTAACGCTGGGAATTCCGACCGGAGGAGGAAACCAGTCCATCGGACCACCTGTGCCGCCAGACCATCGTTCAAGTATTCCACCGCTGGTATATATACCCCACTGCCAATGCCCGAAGGAAAGAACATCGACGAAGGAGAGACCATTTCCGACGTCGAGAGGAGGCTGCCGGAGACGTTCTACATCGCTGCAACTTCTGCTGCGAGGAAGAGGGGAGCTACAGCAGTTCGCTCTTGTTGATCCAGGAGTATTATCTCTGGAAGGAGAAGTGCTGCCGGAAGCCGCCGCATAGAGAGCCGGTCACCTCTTCTTTTTCCGCCAAAGAAGGACGACATACAGTGAGTACATACTCTCTCCTTCCTTGCTACAAACGTACTGTTTTAGCATGTAATCCGACCCAGCTTGTTTTACAACTTATGAACAGACCGGTTAAAGTAAAACGTAACCAACTGACTGATATTCCAGTTTGGATTAATGAATTATTATTTGAATAAGGGTGACTAATCAGGAAGAATGAATTTAAACCATAGATTGGTTAATAATTCGCAATAAACCAGAATAGTTATTAATTAAAGAACTTTAATATTCTAGAAGGTGAATTTGGAGACGGTCAAGATAGAAGCTTCGGTTAGGATTTACCGCAATTTGAGGTAAGTACTATGTCAACCAAGTTTCATGCTTTTCCCATATAAATTTATTTGTGACTAGTTATTTGAGATCATTTGAGTATATGATAGTTAATGAGATTTTACGTATCAATTGTGATTGTGAATTATATATATATATGAGATTTGAGTATTTTTATATTTGGTGATATTTTGAGCATTTGAATTTACATATGAATTATTATTGGATGGAGATTTGAGATTTGAGCCATTTATGAATTATCCTATATTTTGGACTATTTATGGTATATTTGAGTATGATGAGTTAATAATTTTATTGTGAATAATTTTGTGGAATTTGGATTTCATATCCATTTTGATTTATGTTATGATACTTGAAATTGAGATTGGATTATGATTTTTGTGAGTACTCGGAGAAATGTGGATTTGGTGAGTGGTAATGATTATAAGTCTAATTCCACCAGGGATCTCCCAAAAGTGGAGCATCCCAGCTTAATTGTAGTAGTCGGTAGAAAAATCCTGACTACTCGGACTTTTTACTACTCGGAGAGCTTGGAATCTCTTTTAGGGGGTGTGCACACTTAAGGTAGGAGTTCGGCTTCCATTGGATTTCGTTGAGTTTGAATGATTGAACTTGAGATGATTTGGATTATTTGGTTGGACTTGATGGAGATGAATTGAACTACATTATATTGGATTATTTGAGTGGGTTATATTTGTTTGGATTGGATTGAATTTGATGTGGTTGAGATTATTAAATTATCGGTAGATTTTCAAAGTAATACTTTTTTTTGATTTGATATGGTTATGTTGAATATTGATTATGAGTATTTGGAAGTATTTTGAGATGAATATTTCGGCTTTACATATGAATTATGTTTTGGAATATAATTACGAGGATTTTGGTGGTTTATGTATATTGACCTTTTAGAATTATTATGATTTGGAAATATGTACCTATATTTGGAATATTGTCACTTTACATGTGATTTTGTGATGAGAAGTTTGTATAAAATGTTTTAGGAGGTTTCCTCCCAAATGTTTTCACAAAATGATATATATGTATCAAACATGATTATTTTACAGGGTTGGGTGGGCCTTACTTAGCATTTCCAGCTAATTTTTGTTTCTTTGTGTTTTTCTTTCTGTACTTTATTTGTGCAGGAATTGAGGATCATGTTGAAGTTGATTTCGAGAGCTTCCGCTAGAACACATAGACTAAAGTGATTTGAGTAATTTATTTTAGTCTTAATTTTAAAGAATTGTAGTTGAACAATTAATTAACTAAAATTTTAATTGTTGGTGGTGGATAGCCTGTGCACTCGGTTATGTGAGAACCGAGTGTGGCGGTAACGCCCCAGTTTCCCTTTGAATTTTCCGCTGCATAATTCTGATAAATCATTATTTAAATGTATTTTTGGGTGGGAAATTTGGGGGTGTTACAAATGGTATCAGAAACTGCTATCAGAAAGGCAGATATCAAGAGAAGATTAACTATAGGCAGAAGAGGTTGTCTGGTCAACCTCAGAAGTCTAAAGTTAAGCGATTCTCTGATCTTGATAGTATATGGGACTTCTTTCCAACAAAGAAGGCTATGCAGAAGTATGCAAACAGAAAGCATGACCCTCACAAGCATCTGCCCAAAGTGAATCATACATCTGTTTACTACAACTACCAGGTGGACAATGGGTACCATCCACCAAGGTTTCAGTTGATGAGACCAAAATGGTACCAACTACCAAGACTGCATTACCCCCCAGGACCCAACATTGCTTGGGTACCTAAATCCTCCTTTTGATCTTGCAGGAACAGTGTGCTGGAGCTATCTCAGAACAAGAATGGTATATTGATAGTGGATGCTCCAGACACATGACAGGTGACAAGAGTTGCCTATCAGAGTTCCAGAAAATCAATGGACCCAGAGTCACTTTCGGTGGAAATGACAAGGAAGGGCAAACAAAAGGAAGAGGGAAGCTGATCAAGAACCAGATAACCATTGAAGATGTCTCATATGTCAAAGGTCTAAAGTTCAACTTGCTGAGTGCTAGCCAATTCTGTGACAAAGGCTACACAGTTGAATTCACCAAGACCTTATGCTATGTCAAGCATGAGACAACCAAAGAAGTGGTTCTTACAGCCAAGAGAAGGAAGAACATCTATGTTGTTGACTGGCAAACAGCAAAAGATGGAACCTGTCTGATAGCAAAAGACAATTCAAAGCTAAGCTGGGACTGGCACAAGAAGCTTAGCCATCTGAATTTCAAAACCATCAACAAACTGGCAAGAGAACACATTGTAGATGGTCTGCCTGACATTGTCTACAAGAAGGAGACCCTCTGCAGTGCTTGTCAGAAAGGCAAACAAGTAAAGACCTCATTCAAACCCATAGCTGGAGATCTTTCTACTTGTCCTCTAAATCTGATCCACATGGATTTATTTGGACCAGTTGAAACTCCCAGTGTTGGTGGAAAAAGATATACTCTTGTTATGGTTGATGACTACTCAAGATACACTTGGACTGTGTTCCTAACCAAGAAGAATGAAACTCTTCAGAAGTTGCCATCTCTGCTAAAGCAACTCCAAACTGAGAAAAATATGAAGGTCAGAACAATCAGATCTGACAGAGGAACTGAATTTGTCAACAAAGTGATCAAAGACTTCTGTGATCAGAATGGTACATTCCATCAACTTTCTGCTGCCAGAACACCCCAACAAAATGGTGTTGCAGAAAGAAGGAACAGAACTCTGAAGGAAGCTGCAAGAACTATGATTGCAGAATCAGGACTGCCCATCAGATACTGGGCTGAAGCTATCAACACTGCATGCTACACTCAGAATAGAAGCATGATCCACAAGAATCATCAGAAGACCCCCTACGAGCTGTGGAAAGGAAGAAAACCAAACATCAGCTACTTCCATGTGTTTGGATGCAAGTGCTACATTCTAAACAATGGAAAGGATAATCTGAAGGTATTTCAAGAAAAGGCTGATGAAGGTGTGTTCCTAGGCTACTCAAGTTCAAGCAAAGCCTATAGAATACTCAACAGAAGATCTCTACAAGTTGAAGAATCCATTCATGTCAAGTTTGATGACAGCACCTCTGCAGAAGAACTATCAGAGACCTTGCAGAAAATCAATCTTGAAGATAAGGGTTCAGAACTATCAGAAGAGGCCATCAACAATCCTATATTCACAACTCCTCCTGCCAATCCAGTTCTGATAGACAAAGATGAAGATGAAGATGATATATCAGAAGATGAACCATCAGAGTTGCCTAGACAGCAACTGTCAGAACCTGATCTAACTTGGTTGAGAGATCATCCTCCTAATCAAGTGATAGGTCAAGTCACCAGTGGTGTTAGGACCAGATCTGCATCAAGAAGAGAAGCCATGTTCACCTGCTGCATATCCCAGATGGAACCAATGTGTGTAGAAGAAGCTCTAGAAGATTCAGATTGGATCAATGCAATGCAAGAAGAGCTGACACAGTTTGAAAGGGATGAAGTATGGAAACTTGTTCCCAGACCAAAGCATCAGAATGTCATTGGAACCAAGTGGGTATTCAAAAACAAAGCAGATGAAGAAGGCAACATTGTAAGGAATAAAGCAAGGCTTGTAGCAAAGGGATACTGTCAAGAAGAAGGCATAGATTTTGATGAAACCTTTGCACCTGTTGCAAGACTGGAAGCAATCAGGATATTCCTAGCCTATGCTGCTTACAACGACATCAAAGTATACCAAAGATGTTGATGCAACAACTTATAGAGGAATCATTGGATCTCTCCTCTATCTGACTGCAAGCAGACCAGACATAGCTTTTGCAGTAGGAATCTGTGCCAGATACCAATCAAAGCCCAAGGAGAGCCATCTAGTTGCTGCTAAGAAAATTATCAGATATATCAAAGGAAATCCAAATGCAGGACTATGGTATCCCAAGGGAGGTAATTTTGAACTAATTGGTTATTCTGATTCAGATTTTGCAGGTTGTAGATTGGACAGGAAAAGTACTTCTGGTCACTGCCAATTGCTAGGTGGGAGACTTGTCTCCTGGTTTAGCAAGAAGCAGAATTCAATCTCAACTAGCACTGCTGAAGCTGAATACATTGCTGCTGGAAGCTGCTGTGCTCAATTGCTCTGGATGAAGCAACAACTCAAGGATTATGGAGTGCAAGCAAAGGAGATCAAGCTGTTATGTGATAACACAAGTGCCATTGCCATCACTCAGAATCCTGTGCTGCATTCAAGAACCAAGCATATTGAGATCAGACATCACTTCATCAGAGATCATGTGGAGAAGAAGCACATCTCAATTGAGCATGTCCCAACTGAAGACCAGCTTGCAGATATCTTGACCAAACCTCTCTCTGAGGCAAGGTTTAACAAGTTGAGAGAAGAATTGGGAATGATGGATGATCTTCCCAGAGAAACATGAATCAGAGTTGCAGAAGTATCAGATGTGGATTCATCAGAACATCCCATCTCTGATACCTAAGCTCTTATCCATCAGAAGCTTGAATCAGAATTGCAAGGTTCAGACTTGCAAAAGTCAGAGTTGCAGGAAGGATCAGACTTGGTATTCATCAGAGGTCCTCATATCAGAACATCTCTATCTCTGATACAAGGGCTAATACCTATCAGAGTGGCTGTGGACTTAGAAAAATTTTCTAAATTTCGGACGAGACTATTCAATAAACCGGAAGTTACTATTTTACCCCCCGGTAGTTATTACCACTTTTGGAAAACGGCTTTCCGCCCGCATTCCATTAAATGCAACCTCGAAACCGTAAATTATATCAAACGTCCACTAACCCAAATTCATATATACTCGTTCTGAAAACCTAAATTGCTACTGCAATTTTATTCCTCGTCTTCAAGCTTTATCTCTCTAAACTCTCAAATCTCAGACCTCTCAAACTCTTCACTAAACAAAAATGAAGTTCATCAACATCAACGAACTCTCCAAGGAGGAAATCAAGACTCTTGTGAACAACATCGTCACTGGCATGCGCGTTGACATGTCCTCACTGCCTCTATTGGCAGAAAATCAGAAGCGGATGAAGAAAATCATCCAAGGAATGCATGATTCCCAGCTGAGCAAGATTGTTGCTCATCCTTATGAACAATACAGCACGAAGGACGTTGCTGAGTTCTACTTGAATGCCATCATTACCACTGAGGCCATCCACTCGCAGGTTCAGGGCAAGGACCTGAAAATAGATGCTGATGCTCTCAATGAGTTCTTCGACATCAAACTCGATCCTCAAGAAGAGGATACTACCAGCCTCATTGAGCTTGACGATGTGAATATCTCTGTCCAAACTTTTGCTGAAACCTACTGCCGGGAGGATGCAACCGGAGTAGATAAGCTCTACATGAAGAAAAACCAGCTGAAGAAGGACTATGAACGTCTGATGAGCATAATGCACAGGTGCCTGTGGTGCAAAACCGGCTCAACTGATCAGATGAACAACACAAATGCTAAGGCCATCTATGCTGTTCATCGGGGCATGAACATCAACTGGGGAAGGGTACTATTCCAGTCCCTCTCTGAGTCTGTGGCTAAGAAAGACAAAAAGACTGGCCAATTCTCAACCAAGATGGGTCATGGACTTCTCATTTCAAGACTGATTTCCAATATCAACATATCGCTCCGAGAAGCTGCTGATGTCAATCACACAAAGACCATCTTCCTCACAGCCTCTCCCAAATTCAATGTAGCCATTGCTGCAGAATTAAAGAAAGCCAAGAAACAAGAACAACTGAGGGAGAAACCAGCTACCGCAATTGAGGTTGATGATGAACAACCCAAGGGCAAGAAGAAGAAACCTCAGAAGAAGCTTGAAACCACCACTGAGGAGGTTGCATCAGAGGTGGAAGCATCAGAGGAGGATCCCATCTCTGCTCTTGAGAGACAATTTCAAAGGGTGCTAACATGGAGAAAGTGGAGAATGGGACCACTGCAACAGATTCTTGCTCAGGCTGCCACCTTTGAATCTGAGGAAGCTGAAGTCCTCAAATGGGCAGACACTGATGATATCTCCTTGTGCTTTGACCTCCAATATCTGCACTCTATCCTTGAAAAGAAGAAGGAAATCTACAAAGGAAAGGAGAAGGTACCTACAACCTCACCAGAGAGACCTGTCAAGGCTCTAGAAGATCATGAGAGGGATGCCTTTGATGCCTGGCTGATGGAAAAGAAAAGGAGGGAGTCTCTAATCAAGATGAAACCGATTCCAGGTACAGAGGGAGAGCCATCAACTGCCAATGACCTATCTCTGGCAATGATGAACCTTATCAGAGAATGGAGAGACTCTCAGTTTGAAGAAACTGTTCTTGAGGTAATTCCTAACTCTCCTGTCCCAATCCCATCACCTCCCAAATCCCCCTCACCTAAACCAGTCACACCAACCACAACTCCACCCCCATCTCCTCC